CACAAGCTGTATTGTTATATAAGTAAAACTCATAATGTAAGGATGTGGATCTAAAAAGATATTTGTGCGTTTAGCATACAGGACAGAAATGCAGAGACATGGATTCACTCAAGTGTGCTACAAAGTAAGTTTGTGTTTTGCACAGTGAATTCCTTCATGACAAGGCTCATTAGAAGTTCATGCTGCCAAATGCTGTTTGCTTTCATCTTCAAAACTGTCTGCATTAATAATGAGCAACTCCATTTGGAAGTTATTTACATGAAGTATTGTTCCTGTCAGTGGTGCAGTGCTAGGCAGGGCAATATGGAGAACAGAAACTCAGCAAATTAATTCAAGGGCCTGATTTAACATATTGCTCAAAAACATTGGTATAGTCTAAGCTGGTATGGCACATACTGCATGAAGTCTTGCTTAGCAGGACTTGACAGTAAAGAGGATTTACTTCTCCTAAGTTAGCTCAGATAACTAATTTGCAAGCCTGAATAGTTATTATTTTCAAGATTAATATCGGAACCCTGTTTTCTATGTTTTATATTTTGAGATTTTCCAGCCCGACAATCTCTCAACTTCATGTGAAATCCAGGTTCTTCTTGAGTAGAAATCTTGCAATTCTAGAGTGTTTTTACTTGCACAGATGGCTGTTATGATATCACTCTCCCTTCCTCTGGGAGCATTGTTGTCAGCAGCTGGTGCATTCGCATACACTAAGGCCTTCAGTGGTATGGCAGTTAGACATAATGAGACTCTGTAGTAAATTTCCCATAACATTATTACAGGGTTATTTCAAGGGAGAAGCACAGGACAAAACCTGGTTCATGTGGTTACTGTAAAAGTAACTAAACAAATCTTCACTTTAAGCTTTAACGTGCTATCAAATTCATGGCTTTAATTTAAATGAACATCCAAGGTAATCTAGAATTATCTATCTCCATAACATTTGATACCTATATGATAAAGGAGAGTTGGCCAAATATATACCAGTCTATCTTCACCCTGAGCCAGAAACAGATATTATGCACTCAGTCTACACCTCTACCATTCCTCTTTCACTGCTACAGATTCATATGACTTATGTGAAATCTTTACCGATGGAGAAGCTTTACTGGCCCTTTACTGAATTTCTGGCAAAAAGCACTCATTTTTTGTAACATGAAATTATATGTAATAGGATCTGGAGCATAAAAATGTTTGCAAATATCAAATTTCAATTATAGGTGAAAAAAATTAGTTAAGAAAAAAAAAACAAACAAAAAACCAGCAAAACATATTAAAGACATCAGAGCACACAAGACCAAACTGTGAAAGTCTGAGATTCTTCCCAATACATAGGACCATGGGCTATTAGCCAGCATGCTGTATGCAATGCTTAGAAAGTTGATAATTTCTAAAGTACTATGTCCACAAAACTTTATCATTCTGTGATATAAAATCTAAAATCTGCTGCCTATTTAGGAAGATTTGCTAAGATGGGATCACCTAACCAGAAGATAATGGAATTGTGGGAATTTTATTAAAACCAGAATTTATGAAAGTGAATATAATACTTGAAATAACTTCTTAAAGCTGCTGAAACTCTTTTTATATTGTTTTGACTAAGATTTGTAAAGTATCTCTTCTGTCTTCTGTGCATGGAACTTTTCATAAAGAATTCCCTCACTGTCATTCATTCCCTTCTGCTTTTCCACTCTACTTCTTTAATGAATAGTCAGTTGTCATTACCACACATTACCTACATGAATGAAAAAGCCCCCAAATGATCTACAGGTCTTGTTCTCTGCCTGTCAAAGATAGTAATCAACTACCTTGGTTAAAATGACAGTCAATAATAGGTCAAATTATATTCTTCTTCAGGATTATTATGTTTGGTTTGCTTAGAAATAAACATCAGTCAGTGCAAACTACAGATATTTCAGAATTTAAACCTAAAAAGTTGGTCTTCAGGTTAATTCCATGGTCTTGCAAAAAGACTTCAGATACCATAGCATTATCCAGTAACCATACCTAAACTGGAAAAGATTTTCTCCAAGTACAAGTGCAAAACAGTACCTGAGGATAAATTCATATCAATTTACAGATATAAATATGATGAAATATGGAAATTAGTTATTTTCTTCTCACTTCTTGCATAAAAATAAATGCTAATAAACAGGGAGAAAGGCCACTTACATTGTCACATTGTTTCATATAAATGAATAATTTAATAAAATTTAATACTTAATATTAAAGTATTTTGTGTTTCTAATGTGCTATTCCTCCCGACAAATGGTATTTGAGTGACTTAACAGTCCTACAAAAGGAGCTGTCTTTAGAACGTTTTGAATATATTCTAGTCAGAATACAAATGAGATGCTTATGAATGTGTGGAACACAGAAGTTTTGACATTGATTACTGATATTTGGGTTCTTACATGATCATAAACACTCTACCGCATAATTTAGGCAAATAACTTAGGTCAGTTAAAAGTTTAGTTGCTTCCTTACAACAAGTGAATAAAAATAATACCAATAGGAATGTGATTATCAATGTCTGAAACTAATAAACTCCACTTTAGTCATGGTCATCCATCTATGCCATACACTGAAATATCACTTTAGAAAGTCTTCCTTTTTTTTATCACATTAACATAGCATTAACTACAGGCACATATTAGATGCCTGTATTGAGAACAACCCCGAATACCTGATTCCTTCCCAGACTGACCCAAATCAAATGCCTATATCCAGAAGATCATCTCCTATCCCCAAGTCAGTCAGTGTTTGGCTCTTCTTCTGTAGCTTCATTTCCCATTGTGTAAAATTATTTAAGAACTTTTACCTTGATTTGTCTTCCTCTACACTAATTTTTTATTCTCTGTAATCAAGAGTGCCTAAGCCCACACTAGCTACCTTTAACACCATGCAGAAGAGAGCTGGTGTCTTGGATAGGAGGCCACACTGACTTACATCTTTATTTCTAGGGCTGTTCACACTTATCTGCAGACAGACTTCAGTGGAAATCACCCGCAACAAATTAAGGTTTACTTCAGTAGCAGTGGACTCCTGCTTGTCATACCATCATATTTTCTACCATAAGTGTCTCTGATTGACAAACAATCAGATAGACACTGACAAAACCTGTTTGAAAATCATATCTCTTCTACAAGGCTGTGTGCTTGCTGTAGGCCATATTTTCCTTCTGTCCCTCCCAGCTCTTTTCTCTAATATCAAATCAAATAAATGAAGCCAGCAAAACATGGGAGAGTAAACTTTATTCCTTAAAAGAAATACAAAGAAATGGTTTTAAATAATTATGTGATATTTCTTCTGTTAATAAATTATTTTGCCCAACATTTCGATGATACTTTTGTCTTATTGAAAGACCATGAGCTAAAAAAATTACTTCTGAGTATTAGAATATGCACAGGTTTAGTGAAAGAGTCTTAATACCTTACTATTCAGTAATACCACCAAAAAATTTGGGGGCACTCCTGTTAATGCAGCTATCCAGCCTCCAGACACAACTGGTATCGGCTTAGGCAGCTTATAAGCAGAAAAAGTTTAGGTCTGTCTGGCCTTTCCCACAAAGACATAGCTTAAACTCCTGTGAGACCTGTTAGAGTCTAACTTCTACATTAGCTTTCCATCCTGGATCACTGAAACTACATCAAAGCAGTAGCGGCTGTAATCTAGAATGAATAGAATCCATATATTTTACCTAAGACCTTGTTTGGTTTCAGTAACTGTCTTGGTTATGTTTCTTATTCTATAAATGCTTTCTTATGTATGTCAAATCTGCTTTTTACTTTATTAGTTTATGAAATGAATGATCTATGTGTAAAGAAGGAGCCCACTTAACCTGTTTTTCTCATGTTCACAAGCCAGTACTAGTAGCCCAGGAATCATTTCAGAAATTATTCTCTCTCTGTAGGAAGACAAATCAAATAAATTTGTCTGTATTGTGGAGCAAGCTATTTGTTACGCACTCAAAAAATCTGAAATAATGAAATTAAGTTTCAAAGTTTGTTAAAACTTAATATGCACAGATGATCTGTTACACAGTTACAGGATTGCACTGAAATATTACATACATTTCATCTAAAGCTTCTAATGTTTATGCTTTAAAAATATTAAACGGGTTTGCTGGAACAGGAAATAGTTATGCATTGCTTGTATGTTAGTTATTGCTGTTGTATCACAATGCTAGTACAGACATGGGTGGATATGCTAGACATTGGACATAAATGGAGTAACAGGTAGTTGCTGCCCTGAAAATTTTTTAATGGAAATAAGTAAAGAAAGCAGTAGGAGAAAGGAACACTTACATTTCTTACTTTAAAGTCAACTGAATGAGATACAGAGAATGAAGGAGAAAACCGGTTAGAGGTAAGGGACTGCTAATGAATTTTTGTGTGTGTGTCAGATATCATCCTTATTTTAAAAGCACTGACCTCTAGCTCGTATTTTGTCAGCAACATATCTGTATTGGTACTAAAGTTCACATGAGCACAAATGGCTTAAAATTGCAAGAACAGAATGATTAAACATTGCCTTTTTGTTCAGGATGTTTCCAGACCTCAGGAACCATCTGAATCTTATAGTTAAGATCTTAAGGATGCTATTTTGTTTCAGCATTTTTTCCAGGACATGAGATTTTACCTGTTCCCTCTGTCAAGCTGGGAAGGTACAAGGCAGGAGCAGGAGACAAGGTTCTTACCTAATTGTCAGGTTGAATGATGTGAAACAGCGAATGACTCAGGATATATGACCTGATGGAGGGCCATGCCTTTCTGCCTCTATCCACTCTCACCTTATGACAGATTGGATGTGTCCCTCCTATTATGATCCAATGCAGAATTCTCTTTCTTCCTGTTATTCTCGGTTTTCTACCCCTTGATTAGTTTTATGAGTAGGATTGCAGAGTTGTGCAGTATGTTGTCAGAGTTTTCTTTCTATTGAAAAAGAAAATTATACTTTTTCAGTTTGCTTGCAACATATAAAAATTTTGTTTGTTATTGTTTCAGGACACGGCAGGTCAGGAGAGATACAGAACAATTACCACGGCTTACTACCGGGGTGCAATGGGCTTCATTTTAATGTATGACATCACAAATGAAGAATCTTTTAATGCCGTGCAGGACTGGTAAGTAAAACTTGGAATTCATAATAAATAGCACAGAGGATATTTGATATCATTCACCTGCTGCGACAGTGTGAATTATTTTGGAAAACTTACTTCCAAATAGAGTGCTCAAGAATTCCTATGGCCAAATATATGCTGGGTTTTTTTTTTCTGGAAAGACAATGAACACCTTTAAATGTGTTGCGTATAATTCCCTGTAACCATTGTGTTTTCTGTGATTTTTGTTAATGTATATTATTGATACTACTGAAACCAGCAACATGCTAGCCTGAAGAGTAACTGCTAAGATACCAGAAAGTGTTTCAATATTTCGTGGAAAAAAAATGAGATAACATGTGTGGGGGTTGTCTTTTAATTTAATTTTTTATCATGTTGTTTTTAACCACAGCTGGTTATACTTACGTTGTGGGTCTTGTGCCTCTGGTATAAAAACAAAGCAAACTTCAGCAGAATAGCAGAACCAGATATGGCTGATACTTACATTACCTTGTATTAAGTGAACGTCCAGATGTCTCCATAAAAGTGTGTCTTTTTAATCAGACATGGGTCAGTCAGTATCCAGAGAATGCAAGGCTTTTTAAAGTAAAGGTGACCCAAAAGGAAAGGTGGAGTTAATCTCTGTGATCTCTTCCTTTGCAAGCTGTTTTAGTATCTGAGAGCCTCCTAGAAGTGCTCTGAGTGATATGAATAGTATGTCATGTGTGCTCCACATGCTCTGTCGCATGCTGTTCCCTTAGGACAACTGTGTTTGAGAGAGGATTTTGTTCTGAGTTTGTGTCATTTATTCACTATGTTTCTTTGGCATTTTAAAAATTTATTTTAAGATATGCCCTACTGTGTACTTCTTTCCGGACAGGCAAGGTCAGAAACATGTTTCACTCTTAAAGTGAAAGGCAGTGATGCTGTGATACCTGTTTCTAATGGGAATTGTTGCCCAGTCTCAGAGTCTCCAAGAAAAAACTTTTTCACACTCCTCTACTTATTATTGTGGTAGAAAGTGCCACTGAACCCATGGAGCACATTCCCTCTCTACAGCTGAAGTTTTTTCTTGGTCTGTGTATGCTAGGCCTTATCACTCACCACTCTGTAAACAACTGAGAACCTTAGTTTGATTCTGCTCTCAAGAAATGGGATCTTGGCTTGCCTAACATTACTTGTATAAGTGATATGTATGTAATCACTGGCACTCTTCCAGGGGATAGGGGCAACTCCAGAGTGTGTCCCACCTTCTCTTCTCCATCAGTTATCTGCACAACTCTACAGCAAATTACTCTTATGAGCATCTCTTTCCATTTACTAAAGAATCAATAAGCTTACATGATTAGTATAGACCAGACAACTAGCTTTTGGACGAGTGTATCTGAGAGGAGTCTCTCATGCTCAAAGAGGAAGACACATTTGCTCGCTGTGACTTGTTATGCCAAAGGGAAGTTCTGCCCATTTTGTACCAGCTGGAGGAGTCATGCTCAGTACTTGCTGTCACACATTTGTGAGTACTGCTCTGTTCAGCAGCATGAAACAGAATCTCCTACCTGACAAGAGGTAGCTGAAACTGTTATTCATAGATGATACTATGAAAGTTTAGCAAAAACAGGGAATCAAGGAGTACACCCAACCTCTCAGTTGAACTTGCAGTTGTGTCTGATGACCACCTCTGCTTCCTGGGCCTGCCAGCTGAAACACTTTCTTGCTTTGCCTCTGCTGTTCTTTGTCCATGGACTGATTCTGCTCAAGCACTAGGTTAACTAGGTGATAATGGCTGTCTAGGACAGCTGTAATCTACCAATCTCATTGCCCCATCTCTGGGCAAACCAGATGACATGCGAGCTTCCTCAGACAGGAAGGTTTCTTTATAGCAAGCTTAAATATGAGTATTAATTTTCCCACCTGTTTGTTTTCCAGACTCCTAGATCCGGTATAGTTGACACTCTTTATCTCCTGGTAAAAAAGTAACTAGATTTCATACTAATTAAAAAAAAAAAAAAAAAAAAAAAACCAAAACTCTACTGCTACTCACTGTAGCAGTAAATTGGGAAAGACAGCCATTAAGTTTTCATTACATTTTTCATTATTTCCTATTTTTATGTTCTTAAACCATAGTAAGAAATGCACTTGTGGAACTGAAATTATCCGTATATGGTACTTGGTCCTATTGGCCCTTACTCACACTTGCTCCTTTCATTCGTTTTGTGTGGGACTAAGCGTTTCTGCAGAAGGTCCTACATGCCCCTTGAACCTCTTTCACTGTAGATGTGTCATTTTCTTAGATACTAGGCAGCCACCTAGTATCAGGGTGTTCATTCAACTGTCCTCAGCAGCATTACACCATATCAGTGCTGCCAGTGGTGAGTCTAATAAGGAAAGAGAATAAATACTGCGCAGACAGAATTCTCTCAGGGTGCTCCATGTCTTTTCTTTCTCTCAAATCTGGGATCGAGCAGCACAGTCATTATGTCATTGATAGCAATCACTCACCCAGACCCTGCTCGGTCACTAGTGGCTGAGTGGAGCTACTTAGTGGAGCTAATCTCAGTAATGTGTTTCAGGAATTCACCAGCAAGATTAAGTCACCCTTGATTTACACTGGACCTATCTGCCTTTTTAAAAAAAAAAAAAAAA